TTCTATTTATAATTACCATCCTTACTTTTTTCTCACTTGTAATAGAGGTACATGTAGGATGATAATATAGGGACAATCTTTTTGTATTAACATTTTATACAAATTATATATGTTATTAAATGAGTTAATGTATTCAATATCACAGGTTTCAAATGAATAAAAAAATTAATTATTTAAATAACACATAAAGTTGCATAAAAAATAATATTAAAAAGTTATTCTTAAATTATTTTTGGGTACATATAATATGGTTTAGGCCTAATTTTTTAAATGCACTCAACAGACATATAGGATACATCTTTAAAATCGGTTTTGGACTGCATAAAAATTGGCAGGCGAACATCATAAGTTTCATAACCATTAAAAAAACAGTCATTACTTTTTGCTTTTTAAGATTTTCGAAGAATCCTTGTAATTGAAGTTAAGAATTTATGAGAGGATTGAATTCTCCAGCTGTGTAAAGGGAAGCTGAGTCGGGCCCAAAAGTTGTTCTCGATAAAGACAGACAAGCATGTTAAATGGGCTTTCTTTTTCAACCGTATCCTAAACGGGCTGAACTTCTAGGTAACTAGTACTCCCTATGAGTAAATGTAAACCCTAAAATTTAATGGGCTAGTCCTGGGGTTATATTTATTATTCTCCATTGAGCTTGCCAGCTTAAATTTTTATTAAGTCTTTCTAATATCTTAAAGTTAAGAGTTTTGAAAATTGGCACCTGCCCTTTGAGTCAACTGGGATATTATCAGTTTAAGATGTATTTTCTCTCTTTTATGAATGGATTTTGAATTCATTCCTTGACAATTTGTTTGAAAAAAAAGAGAGTTTTGAAAATTGAACCTGGTGGCTCTAACCACTCTTGTAAGGTCTATATCCCTCTCCCCAAAGGCAACGGTTCAAGTCAATCCCATGATTAAAATGTTTAAAAAAAAAGAGTTTTGAAAATTAAAAATGATATGTAATTTATTAATTATCTAATTAAATTTATTTACGTGACATTAACTTTAAAATTAATATTTATTTTTATATTTTTCTATACAAATTTATTAAAAAAATATTGTTAAATAAATCTATTTACTTTTTTCGGGGAATTGTCAGATTGATTTGTTGACTGTTTTATTATGAGATGTAGAATAACAGGTTAGACTGGACGAGGCTTTTTAATGTGTTCCTGTCATGATCTAGGATCTTAGACTACCATTCTACCATATTGGCATTGGCAAAATGGCTATGAAACATACAATTTCGTCCCCATTTTTTTCCCCTTTTTCCACATTTAATTTTTTTTTTTTTTTAAAGAGAGGAAAAAAAGGGGAGGAAATAAAAATGAAAGGGTAATTTCAATAAGTTAATTTAATGAAATATTGAAGCATCCACCCATCACTCCTCCCCCACAGGATCGTTAGAAAGGCACCAACAAGGAATGGCTGACCCAACCAAAGATTTAATTAGAGGATAAAAGTATATAAGGAGAATTCTGTCTTATTATTCTTTTTCAAAGAGATTAGAAACAAAGCTTTCTCACCATTGGAGTATTTTCCAAAATCGAGTTTGTCTCTTTGTCTTTCTGTAAAGAGACAAGCTTATTAGGGGCAAAAACAAATAAATAAAAAAAAATTTGCTGTGGTTGCTGCTTTGGGCCAATTCATTGCCGCTAAAGGTGTGGTTTGCGATTCACGGGAAAACCTCATGATTCCGGCAGGATTTTTGAAATGACAAAGCTTCAAACTCTATAGTAGCTTCGAGCAAGCTTATGGCTAGAACTACCAAAAGATTGCTATTTAGTATCCCCTGTGCAAGCTTGTAAATTGGCATTGGGGTTGCAAGTCTTAGCACGTTGTTTTAGTCTCTCCTTAAGGTTACGGATGACACTTGCAAAATAAGGTCTGATTGAAAGTCTAATGTAATATAGTATATGTTATTGTATGTTTTAGGTCGGAGCACCCTTTAACTTTTAATAAATCCAATTATTCTCTCCACCAATTGAAAAAAAGAAAAAAAAAAGCACACCAAATAGAGGTTTACCATTCTACATGCTTTAAGGACGGAAAGCATCAGCAACAAATTCAAATGGGCACACTAAACATGGACAACAAATCAACAATGGTTCTCAATTAATGCCGATTACAACGGAAGAATAAACAAGTCACTGTATTAACTCCGTTGTTGACAAGCCGGTGCAAGAGGCAACAATGCATAAAGGTGGATCCTTAGATATGGATAAATTCAATGTAAACAATGGTACAAAGATTATTTGATTTACCACTCCTCGATGTGGGTAAAATAGATATTATTAAGTAGTTTCATTTTACTGAGAAAATTTTTTACTGTTATTTAAAAAAAATTATAAATTTTCTTGATAATTAATAAAGCACATAAAAATATAAAAATTAAAACATTTCAACGCTTAGAATATTCATTATAGTTATCCATTAAATAAATTTTATCTTAAAATTCACTCAATAAATTACTGTTATGAACGTTCTAATCACTAAATTGTCCTGATTTTCCGACCTCTCTAAAGTACATTAAATTTATTTATGGTAGTTGCTTGTAGGACATGAGGTAGCTAGTTATAATAATAGCTTACAAAGGTATGCTCTATGTAAATGTGTCGTGTCAATTAAATACTGAGACTCCTATACTAAATGATGTCATAGGAATGTTGACAGTCTAAAGAAGTTACCTTATTTGAGCATCTATAACAGTTCCCACCCACTATGGATAGCGCCAAACATAAGTAGATAACTAAGCATTGAGTGGATGAAAATCATCCACCCGCATTGTCAAGGTTGTTCCTGAATTGTCAACTAAAACCTCTGAGGCATGACCTTGCTCTTCACATCCAAGTCTAGATTTTCGCTTCCCATTCACATCCACTTTCTTACTTGAAGGTGACGCCATGCTTTTTTCAGTTCTTTTCAACACCTCTTGTACCTTTTTATATTGAGACGCCCCACTTGAGCTAAAGGAACATCCACCAACAAAGCGGTAAAATCATCCAGAGGTTGAACTGTTGGCACATTCAAAAACTTCCTTATTTGGTCCTTCAAGAGTTCAAGTTCTTCATCATTGAGGTAGTTTTGAATCAAAGCCAACCCCATCTCCTTTATTGATTTCCCCATGTTACTAACCTTTTTCTTCAACTAAATATAACCCGTATCGGACGCACAATTTTCTGCCTCCCTCAGGCCACTACTATTTACACTTTTGTCACAAAGACTCTTGATTCACAGGGTCTTGACCGGTAGATAAACCAAGTTCATTGGTCCCAATTGGTCCCTAGACATCCACCAATTCAGCTTTGATCCGTTCACCATATTGTTTAAATACTTTCTTACAAACTTCCCTCGCATAGAAACGAAGATTACAATCGGTCTCAAAATAACCCATTCATCTACAAACATAGCAAAAGTCTGAGAGTTTTGTCGTTAGGTTTCTGTTAAGATTTTCGTATTAACAAATCTTCGCAGGGGATAACTCACTAATAAACTAATTCTAACTCGTACGGAGTGACTATGTTTTTCATCAACTTCAAGAACAAGAATTGTCCCAATTCTCCCTCTTATCAACCCAACCAATAAAATCATAGCGGAGCCCAACAGATAAACCATGGAATTGATAAACCCACAAAGGGTTCGTAGAGAAATCATACTACTCGACCTAATTTTTTTTTTTTTTTCAAATCTCCTCAGAATCATCAGAGATCTGTTGTAACTCTATGGGGCTTTCTGCAAAATTTTGTTGAGATCCAATTTATTAGTGAATCTAAACATATAGATTTTGTCTTCAATTTCACTAGTATGAGTTTCCCCTTTAGTTCTCCTGGAGATCAACAAGGCATTTTGATTTTAATTGCTATTTATATACTATAAAGAATATTACCTAAAAATATTTGTACAGTGAACTAAGATAACTGAAAAATAACAGCGGGAGTATAACTTAGGAGTGTTTGACAATGTTTTTCTTTTCTTTTCCTTTTTTTGGTTATAAATAATTTTTTCCCGTTTGATAATTTTTTGAAGGGAAGAATTATTTTTTGGTATTTAAACTGCCTCCCTCCCATGAAAAATATACACAGTAACACAGACCTTTAAACTTGCCTCCCACTAAATCCTAAATAGAGTGAACAACATTTGTAATGACTTTACTAGGGTTTTTCTTTTATGTATTTTTAGAATA